TGCCAATGCGCCATCGCGGCTGTCACCAGCCCTTCACCACTATTGGGATCATCGCTGTCATCCTCCCCGCAGGTTTGCATAATCCATATATTGCAAGACTTCACACATGCACAGAAAGACCACAATTCCTGACAAGATAAAATCGAACACTCCCCGACTGAAGGCTGCTTGCCACGGTGCCCGGGCACACCACAGAGCTGGCCATTCCTGCGGACTTTGCAACTCCGCAAGAAGGTCGTTTTTGATTTTCTTACTTCGATCCAATTGGGTGGTTACATGTTCAGTTTCATTATGGCATACCTGCCCTGTAAGCAAGTTCTTGGTTCCTGTGGAGCCCTCTTGCCTCGTCTCCTTCGGTTTCGGGGGTTTCAGGATTGGGGACTTACGTGGTGCTGTGCAGCCGCTGCATGCTCTCTCAAATTTATCTCGAAAGTTCTCCCAAAGATTTCACTAATGAATTATTTTGCAGTTTCCAATATTTACATTCCAGAGATTATTCACAAGAGTACAGAGAGAGACAGAGAGCCACACTGTCGCGCGAGCCATGGGCACGGCCCATGGCTCAAGCCCTTAGCTCATACATTCCCATCCTTTACCGCTTCAGGGCCTACTGCTTCAGCATTCAAGTGAAAACTACCGGAAAAACATTGAAGCTAAGAAACGCTAAGGAAAGTTGAGCAAAGCTAGAAGAAGCTAACTAACGATGATTTTGTGACTGGAACTGTGGTTTAAGGTGCGGAGGTTCCGGTTTGGGATGCAGGTTTGAGGGCTCAGGGTTTAGGGTTTCGGGCGGTTATCAAATCCCGTCCCCCATTTGCAACTCCGGCCCCCCTCCCCTACCCCTCCCCCCCTCCCCCTTCCCCGCTTGGCCAGTCATCGTAGGATGTGTTTATGATTCCTCGAGGAGTTTTGTGGATTTCCCTCGAAGGACTCCACTAAAAGCCAACAAAAGCCAAGGAAATCCCATGAAAAACAAAGGAAATCAAACAAAAAGGATAGAAACACTAAAAGAATGGTAATAAACAACTAAAGAAAGCTAATCAAAAACTAAAGGCAGCTACCAAAGCTGAACTTTCACCAGTTTTCGGCTGGGCCCGGGAACAGGGATGCCCAACAAACAGTTAAAGCAAACTAACAAAAAGGTGAAGAACGCTGAACTTTTCCCAACTTTCGGGAAGGCTGCAGCTGCAGGCCCTTTCAAAACAGACACTGGCTGCAAACAAGACTCTCGACTGGACTTTCAGGAAAAGAGATCTGTATTTCGCTGCAAAAGGATTTCTTTAGCTCACTGGGCTTTCATTAGAGGAACTCTCAAGGATTTTCTAGTCTGTTTTAGCTCGTTGAATGGTGCTCCAGCTGCGAAGAAGCATGCTTCAGATAGGTAAGTCATACGAATGTAAGATTAGCAAAGCAAAGAGAAAGAGAGAGAGAGAGGGAGAGAGAGAGCGGGCCTCATGCAACAACTGGGGGGAGAGCGAGGGGAACACCATATACAGCGACCCCAGACGTGGACCGATCTCCTCAGACAGATCAGGGGGGAACTCAACAACATGCCTCTACAATGCCGCCATGCATGTGTACACCAGCTACTCTGCCGCCTTCATCGCCCGGGGCCTGACCCGGCGGGGGACACAGAAGAGGGACATCGATGCGCCCTCCAACTCTTGTCAGTTCTGGAGCATGAGTTCCCCGAAAGTTATCGCACCAACGGACAATGCGAAGCAGATGCGATATGGCTGCTCTTGAGAGGGGAGAGACTGGCTGAATACATAGACGGCATGAACCTACCAGCAGAAGAACGAGTACGAGGGGGACGAGAAGATGAACACCCGGGCCTGCGGGGAGGCTACCAGCACCATGAGGGGAACGCGAGGGATGGAGCAACGGGGAGGTACACAACGCCGGACGAAGACAGCCGCCGAGACCAGAACCACCACCCCGAAGACTACGAACCCACAGCCTTGATGCAGTTCTCATTGAGGGGGAGATCTACAGGGGATGATCCCGGTACACCACCAACCAGAGATACCTCCTGCACTACCACCACAACGACCACTACACCACAGCAAGGAGAAGACCCCGCCAGACCTGCGACCCCTGCAACACCAGCGAGGAGCAGAAGCCCATCAAGAAGGCGGGACAACCGCACAACGACAACCACCGGAGGGGAACGGCAAACCCCCAGCCCCATCCGCCGAGCGAGAAGTCAAGCCTCGCAGCTCCTACTGTAGCATCCATCACCTCCGAAACGCAAGCAGCCGCAGAATATGCCCCTAATGCCGAAGAGCTGGGGAGACAGAGACGCGCCGACGCGGCAGCAGAAGCACTGGACCTCATCACGGAGGCAATGGGGATGGCCAACGACGTTGGAATGCCGGGGGTCGTCGACTATCTGTCAGCCGCAGCCACAAGGCTATCGCAACTCCACCTAATCCGGAGGCCGGGGACGAACCGAGGGGGACGACCACTACCGACACCCAACGCCTTCGAGATCGCAGCGCTCACAGTGGGAGTCATGGAAGAAAGCGCACAACAGGGGGAGCCGCCCTCCATGGCGGAAATGCTGGAGCTGCTGGAACTCGTACAAGCAGGCATGGCGCTTCTTACCAGGGGGAGACATAGCTACAATTGGCAAGTCACCCACTGGGCTACGGACGCGGCAGAAGAAGCACTTGCTTTATTAACGGTGGCCACAGCAACAGACCATGCGGGAGAACTTCAACGTGCTCAACCAGATGTGGGGGACAC